GCCCTTCTCTCCCTGCCCCAGGATCTTCTTCGGGAAGAACAAAGTGATGATGGTGGCGCTGGGACGTGAGCCGAGCAGCGAGTACAAGGAGAACCTGCACAAGGTAGGGGCTGGGGTTTGCTCTTTGTGTCCCAAAGCTTCGTCTCGCAGCTGCATCACCGAGGGGCAACAGAGCTTCCTCGGGTCACCTCTCTGTGGGGGTTTTAATCGCATCCGGCCACATCACGACAGAAAAGCTGTGGCGTTAGTGGAGCTGTTGTAGCTGAGTGGGACTGAGCCCCAGGAGGTGAGTCCTGGGTGCTGCCTGAGTCACACCGACAGCCTCTTTCTTTCAGGTCAGCAAACACCTGAGAGGTGAGGTCGGTCTCCTCTTCACCAACCGCACCAAAGACGAAGTGGACGAGTAAGTACGAGTCCCATCGTTTTGAGCTGCTGAGCAGCCTTTTTTCCTCTCGGCTACCTCGCTTGCTCATGTTTCTCCTAGAGCAGCCATGGTCTCATGAGGTTTTTCTGCTTGTCTTTGTCACCCTGTACCAGCAGGGAAGGAGTTATGGTGGGCCAGGCCGTAATCCCCGTGTCAGCTCGAGATGTTCTTTCCACAGCTCAAGCTCTCATTGCCCATCTTTTGTCTCAGGTGGTTCAGTAAATTCAAAGAGGTGGACTTTGCCCGCGCAGGGAACAAGGCGACGTACACAGTAAGCCTGGACACGGGGCCCTTGGAGCAGTTCCCCCACTCCATGGAGCCGCAGTTACGGCAGCTGGGATTGCCCACGGCGTTGAAGAAAGGTACGTGAAGCGGCGCAGAGGGTAAGCCTTGCTTTTCATCTGCACAGCTACGAGCTTTTAAGGAGAATGTTCAAGTAGAATCTAGTTTTGGAGAAAATCCAAGGGACTTTCTCCTTGTGCTAGAGCTCGTTATGTTCCTCTTGCACCATTCATCCCAAATGAAAGGACGAGCGAAACAACCCGCCTGGACCAACGTTCTATAAGATATTGTCCTGTTCTAGGGGAAACGAGGCCTAGCCCAGCCCAGCGTGTTCATAACTCAGATATGGGGGTTTTTTTAGAGCAGATCTCACCCAGGTTTCTTGGGGCGTCCTCCTATTTGCATGGAAGGGCACGAGCTACAAGGGGCGGTGTCTGAGAGTTGCAGCTCCGCGCCCCACTTTTCGGTGGCCTCGTCTGGGATTTCTGAGCCTGCTTCAAGAGCTTTTGTTCCCGCAGGAGTGGTGACGCTGCTTTCAGATTACCAAGTCTGCAAAGAAGGGGACGTTCTCACCCCCGAACAAGCCCGCATCCTGGTGAGTAATGTCAGAACAGCCCATCTACGCCCGCCTGTTTCCCTCAGTACAAAATAATTCAAGCGTTCAGCTTAATTCTGCTGGAGGGTGCAAGTTCTCAAGCTTCTGGGTATCGGTCAGTGGGGCGCAGCAAACATCTTTGGGCGTCCCTAACGTGAGGGCTGAAACTCTGCAGCGGTTATTTCAGCTCCTGCCGTGCTGCAGTTCCCACCTGGAAGAGGTATTTACTGGGGTTTTGCCAG